AAGTCCAGGGAAGAATACATCTCCCTGGGATGGATGGGTTGTTTTTTTTCTGTGTTTCCATGTATGACCTTTGCCAAAATCAATTGCTTTAGTTCAGATGGAAGGAATAAGAAATTAATGTGGGCATGTAGCAAGAGTTGGGTATCCAAATTTATTTCTTAAATTTTGAGTCTTTCCACTAATGTCAGTAAAAAATAACAGCTATCACCTAATGAACATTGTTATGATCATTTAGTGGATAACATGGGTAAATTATTTTGCATATATCATCTCTTAAGTGTTTTCCACTTTTGTCCTTCCTTGTGTTCCAGTATCCAATCCAAAACACCTCTTAAGTTGCATTTAAGTCCCCCTGTACTTTTGGTACATTAACTGTTCATACAGGCACTCCACACTACAAATAGCACCCTTGGCAGATCAACTCACTCTGCTACGAGAAGCTTTCTATTTGATTCCTCTTCCCACTTCCTTTACTCTCCATCAGAATGTTACTTTTACATAGTCACCATCCTACTTGGAAAGCATCAACCATATTCTAGGAGAAAACTGAAACTTAACTGGAGAACATCAGAGACTCTTCGCATTCCAGTCCAAGCCTGCCTGTTCTCTTGTTAAGGTGAACTGGCCTGAGTGACAGCTTCCAATGGGCTTTCCACTTTCCACTTACAAATATTTACTTCTGATGCTACTTTATTTCCTTTTTTCTTTTTGACAGTACTGGGAGTTTTACTCAGGGCTTCACATTTGCTAGGCAGGTGATCTACCACTTTAGCTACTCAGCCATCCTACTTCTATTGCTTTTTATGCTCATATTGTTATTTACATTATTTATATTATATTCCTTTGCCCATGAAATCCTCCCTAGCCATGCCAGCTATCAGAGTGCCCTTCCTTTGCATATATACAGCTCTACCCCTTGAGAAATTCAAGAAGCATGTTTTATTATTTCAGTTCTCTATTCAAGCTGCCCAGTGAGTGCATGGGTTTCACTGGAGAACTGTCTTGTCTTCCACATTGCATCTGTATTGCACAGTTAAGTTTTTAAGAAACATATACTAATGCAGCTGCATCAACCACAATGATAATAAAAGTGATGGCATCTTCTTGTGGCCAGTCCAGCACTTAAGGTGTTTGGAAGTCATCAGGCTTATCCTAACAACAAACCAAACAAATGAAAATTAACATCTCTTCTTCTTAGATCCATTAAAGACTCAAGCCCATGGACAAAAATCCCTGCCACTAAAATTGGAGGACAGACAGGCAAGACAGGGAAACCCAACTTAACCAGAAAGCCTCAAATTGAAACATCTGTGGGAACCAGACAGAGTCCCATAGTAGGAAATCCATACTGTAATTCATGAATTGCCAGAGGCTCAACGTGGGTAAGTTTGAGAGTTATAAATAAAGCCCTTACCATGTTCTAGGAACTACTCTAAATATGCCATATATATCATCTTATTTAATTCTCATAACAGTTTTTTCTTCGTTTTATACATGAGGAAACTGAGGCACAGGGCATGTCGGTAAGTTGATTAATGTCAGCTAGCTAGTAAACATGAAAGCCAGGTGATAAATCTAGGTGAATTGGCCCTAGAGCCCACACTTTTGATGATGGTGTTGCAGTTTCCTGATTCCAGACATCAGTAGCTACACTGGCAAGATCACAGGAGTCAGTCATTGGCCGGGTAACACAGATGCTGGGAAAGCCTGTCTACTCTCTTCAGAAACACTCCCCACAGAGGAAGGTGGGAAGAGAGACAAGAAATCCTAATGGGGAGGGGGAGAGAATATGATCAAAGTATATTATATGCACACATGAGAATGTCAGAATGCAAACCATTATTTTGTGCAATTAGTCTACACAATAAAGTGTTTTTTAAAAAGAACATTCCTCATCTCTTCCAAATGAGAATTGAGCTTCCCCAGTCCTAACCCAGCACTTCAACTATGTCTCCCCATCCTACTCCTGTTTCAGTCTGAAGGTTTACTCTTCTCCCTTCACACTGCCATTGCTTATATTTCTAATGGCCACTGTGAAGTCTATGTTAAAATTTCTTCTAACTTTAATCTTTGAAGATCATCATTCTTTGGCCTCTTCACTATATCCCTCTCAGGACAAGCAAAGCCTAAAATATTGTGATGAGTGATGAATATGTGTTCTCCAGGTAAGGTGTATTGCTAGTAATTAAACAGTATTAATTCCATCAGCTTTGATTTCTATTCTGCACTCTCAGTAATAAGACACAGTATTCTATTTTCTTTTTGCCTAGTTCTGAGTAATAGAATGGGTGTTTAAGGATTATTGTATAAATCTGCTTTTTGGTCAGTTCATGTTGGATAATTTTTTTCAATACATTACAAATGTATTCATTATTCCCCAGTTTGTAAAAATAATGAAAAGCGTAGACCAAACACAAATTCACAGAACACAAAAATCTGACTGACGCTCCACTGCCAAATCCCAAGGTTGCCAGCTTCTTAGTTTACAGCTTTTTTAATGAGAACTTGAATCTTTTCATTCAATAAAGGACTTCAATGGACAATTCCTCCTGGTGTTCTCAAGGGTTAGAAAACTAAAGTCTTATACATCACAGATAAAAATGGTCTAGTGTCATATTATGTATGCTTTTAGCAGTTCAGAAAGCACTTGCCCTAAAATATAAACTATTTTTAAAAACACAACGATTTTCCTAACAGTGATTCCCAGGATGTAAATAACATGTGTTGGCATTGTCAAAAAAAATGTTTCAGAGTAAAACAAGCAAGGAAAGAATAGAGAAGAAATACAGTAGATCTAAACAATCATTGTGATCTGAAGTTTCCTCTTAGATAAAACAGACATAAAACACATGCTTTACGAGCCTCAGGTAACCTTCAAGACATCTAAATATCTATGGAGTTTTAAGTATAATTAAAAACTCCTGTTTTTCCATCTAAAGAATTCAAGTTCTGTTTCCTTGACAGGCAAAAAACAATCAATCTTGATCTCAAATGCTAATACAGGCAATTAAAAAATAGCATTAATGTGAATACTGCAGGGACTGTTCTAGTTGAAGTTTGTGAGTTTTTTTTGTTTCTCTTTTTGTTTATGTTTTGTCTTGTTTTCCTTTGCCTTACCTTCATGGCAATACTAATTTACAGGACTAATTAGGGAAACACCCTCTGTGTGATCCATCTCTGGATATCAGGGCTGGCCTTTGAAATCCATCAGAACACTGCAGAAGACCATGGCACTGTAGGAAGCTCCAGTATTGGTAGTAAGAACAATTATTTCACCTGGTAGACCAAATGTGACAGACTGTCATATTTACAACCTGAATATTAAATTTTCTGATTTTAGTAATGAAAATACAGTGCTCATTTGTATTGTTGTACAACTTGTAAATATGCCCTATCACATAAGTAATACTCAAGCAGTATCCTAATTAAAAGGAAAACTCAGTTGTCTTGCAAGATGATATAAAAAGGAACATAAATTGTCAATAAGATACATAGTAAAAATGAAAAAGACATACTGGATAAGAGAGGAATGAAATAAGATTTGGAAATGTGCTTCTTAAATGAACACAAATTGTGAGATAATGTCTCATTGAACAATAAAAATAACAAACCAGTGGCAAAGATGTAATAGAATTTCCTGGGTATACCATTTTAATCTTAATATAATTTTCCCCAGTGTATCCACGTTTATTGAACTACTATGACCATTTTTTTCTCACTCTGTCCAAAGTTACTGAGAGTGTGCTTTTTGCTGTAAATAATTCCCTGATAATGAACATGAAAATGATCCAGAAATTGACCACAATTTATGAAAGAAAAAAAAGACATCGTGTCTACTCGGAAAAAGCCTTATAAGAACATTCAAAGCATGCACAATTTCCTCAGGGAAGCAGTGAACAAATGCAGGAAACCACCCTCCCCAATTCTTCCTGTGCTATCACCTTCATTCCTTGAATTGGTTTTTACAGTCTTCAAAAAATGCAGAGAAGACTCCCAGGACATTCCATAGGTGGGGTGCCAAAGAGAAGACTGGTGCCAAGGAAGGGTCAGATATAGCTAATAAGTACTAAAGTAACTTGAGAAAGATAAATGTCTGTATAGCCTTAGTTTCTTAGTCTGGAAAGTGGGGATGATAATACTTACTGCTTAGCTTTAAGCCTCATTCACAAGTGGTATTTAGTAAATGCTGAAAGAAAGATGCGAAGATCAAAGCTCCACATATATGAAGGGTGTGCTGGAGGGGAAAAGCAGAATCCAGTGGAGCCCCCACCCCTACTGAGGAAGAGGAAGCTCAATCAGATTTTCAATTCCAATCAACCTCATGTACATCTCAGACATCTCAACTATCAATGTCATGAATCCCACCCCCGTTAGCCGAAACTCATGTTGTTCATTAAATTCATTCATTTATTTCATGAGGTTCTAAAATCTAAACTTTAAAGAAATACTCAAAAATAGAGAGACCATGGCCTGATTATCATTTTGCTTTTAAATTCGGTGTCATTCTGCAATTGGAATCTATTTTTTGCTAAACATCAACACTCACATACTTTTGTCTGCCATTCAAAATCTAATTCGTTTTATTATGTATTAATTTCCACAAGTTCATTAGACAAAAGAAGGATGTCTTTAGCCAAACATACACAAAATGTGCCAAATTTACTAACAAATTTTATTAAATGGATTATCCATTAAATTCTTTATTAACTAGAATGCATAACTATGCAATATGACTTTTAACTCTGATTTCTTAATGCTAAACAGAGAAAAAATAATGCATCTCACGTCAATGGATCCACTGAGCAAAAATAGCCATGTAACTAGAATCAATAAGATCATAACTATCCTTGTAATCAGTGGCCTGCCATTACAGTTGCAAATCATGAGCACAGTACCTTTGTAAAATTTGCATAATATTTTTCTAAAAAAAATTGCTAAGGATTTAAATTGAAGGCTCAAATCTATCTGATTTTTAATAGAAAAATCAATCTCTGTGATTCTCTATTCCACTTTTTTTAAAACCTCATTGATGAAGTTACAAATAGAGTAGAGGCCATACATACACATTCCCTAGCTTTACATAGTTAAACTTTGTAATCACAAGATCATTTGGTACAGAGGCAACTTCAGGTTGTCTGAGAGATCATCACCAAAGCAGATTTTCTTTCCAGAAGCAGAAGCTTCTTTGCCAGGGGACATTTCCCAGTCACCTTCCCTACAGAGGTCCTTCTAGGCCATTGCTTTTGATGATCTTAGCATACTCCTTGGCTGACCTGTAAGGGACACGGGGTCTAGCAGGGTCTTCAAAATCCACGTGGAAAAGGCCAAACCGTCTGCTGTATCCATTGTTCCACTCAAAATTATCCAGAAGAGACCACGCACAATATAGTTGAAGATTGACTTTGTCAACATGGATGGCTGAAATTTGTGAAAAAGAGAAATTACCATTTCTGGGAACGTTTTGAGAGTACAGACAAAATCACTGATGAACACTATGGATCGCTTTCTCCTGCTCTGCAGGGATTCACAGTGGGAACAGTCAAGCCTGCTCTATCTCCTTTCCACATGCACACAAAATGGCATGGTAGGTGAGGCATATGTTAATTAGTTGGATTTAGTCATTCCACAGTGTACACATACATCAAAGCATCATGTTGGATACCATAAACACAGACAATTTTTATTTGTCTCTTAAAACATTCCGTTTTCCAGATTTCTGCTTAAACCAAGTAGGGGCTTCATTTGAGAAGGTAATTTACATATAATTCTAGTTATGTGGTCATTCATTAATTTCGACATTTGTTTTATTCATTTATGAACTTCATGCATATTTTTTCAATACCTACCACTTTTGAGGTATGAAGACACATACATACACGCACAAATTCTTCCCTAGTACTTAGAAGAATATTCAATAAAGACACCATCCAGCATCTCAGGACAACCTCCTATAGCCCAGAAAGCCCACTGGTAAATTAAAATAGTGACAATAGCGTGCCTGAAGAAGTCCTAGGACACACCTTTATCCCCATGACTAAACTGACATATATCCTATAATTCTGGAAACAGAACCTCTAAAAACCTGGAGGGGTGGTGTCAGCCCAGGACTCTGAACTGTATACCTATATCTTAGTCTGAGTAAGCACAAAAATGTTATAGCATTCTGTTTTACTCTCTTGGGTTGCTATAAGAAAATACCATAGATCGGGTGGCTTATAAATAAAAACAAAATAGTTCTCATAGTTCATTCACAATACTAGGAAGTCCTAAATTAAGGTGGTAGCAGCTTGGATGTCTTGTGAGGGACCATACCCCAGTTTCTTAATGACTAACTCATTGCTGTGTTCTCACATGGCATAAGGAGCAAGGGAACTCTTCCATGTCTTCTACATGGTTACTAATTTCATTCATGAGCGCTCTATCCTCAAAGACCTCAGTTCCTAATACCATCACATTGGAGGCTGGGATAGCAACATGAATTTCAATGAGACCCAACATTCATTCTCCAGCACGTCTAATCTCAGAGTGGTACTTAAACCTTTTAAGAACCAAAGAAATGAATCAGCTCTGCCAAAATTACACAAACACAATATTCCAGGTATTTAATTTGCAGATGGCCCCTAAGCTCATCCATGCACTCCATGTTAAAACACCAAAGAAGAGAGAATTCTCTAAATAATTTCACAATGGATTTTCATTGCTTTAGTCAATGAATTGAGCTTATTTTTTAATATTTTAAGTTTAGCAAAGCTCCACATTTGAGTAACACTTTGCATTGAGCATTTTATATTTTAAAACCAGAATAAGTAAACCCAACCTACAGGCCAACATTCATTCCTCTGTGCAGAAATTAAGAGAAGAGCAGGTTTGTTTTATGAGATAGTAAGATTCCTACATAAGCTGGGTGAAATGAATATTCATATAATATACCAAATTTAATTGTAGTGGGGATTGTTTTCAACCAAAAATGATTCCTCTAGTTAAGCATTCAGTAAAGCAAGATCAATTCACATTTTTTTCCTTTAGTGTCCATCTATATTTTTCAGGACTCTTAAAAACACTAACACTGCACCCATAGTCTACTACGCTGGTCTCCAGATCTTCCTGGGAGTTTTTATTTTTGGACTATAGATATTCCATAAACAAAAGGAACCTAACAGTTCATTGACACATGATCCCTCCACATTTGTGTCTAGAGGTATGCAAAGTCCTTTGCTAGAAGAGCACCTTGCAAATGTCCTAAAGCAGGAATTAAGCCAAGTTCTTTTCAAACAAAATATTGTTGGAAAATGAAAAATATAGCACTCATGTATATTAAGTTTTTCATGAATAAAAATATCTACAAGATATTCCTTCTCCTATCTGTTGTCATTTGCAACTGTGCCTCCTCACTCTGTCCACTATAAATCTAGAAAACATAATTTCTTTTTAGTAGCCTAATTTAAGAACAGAATGGCATGTCTCTAAGTATGAAAATGACCGAAGCCAAATACCAGCTTAGAAAACAATACTCTCTTTTGCTCTGTAATTCCATCTGGGAGTATGTGAGAATCTGCATATTTTCTTTCCCACTTGCAGAACTACTGCCCAACAAGAAAGCCTGCCATGTATAAAGCCAGACAGTTTGTGAAAATACACACAGTCCCACTGATCATGTATAAAAGGATTGATTCATGTGCTAAACCAGGAGATAAAAATGAGGCCCTGCCTGCTTGGAAGGGAACAAAAAGGAAATCTTGACAATTTCGTTGTTAACTGCCAGGAGTTCAGCAGCAAACACTGAACTGCCTGGGTGAGTGGTGGACATCGCTGCGTTTTCACTGCAGGAACATTCAAGTAGAGAATTACCTAGCTAGAGCTGAGGAACTAGCCTGCTGGAATCCTTCTCGCCATGCCATCACTAGGAAAAATTGCAAAGCCACATTGGAACCTGCATGCCTCTCTTCCTCCAATCTCCTCAGGAGCAGAAAGAGACCATCATCACATTTCTTGTCACCATGATTTATGAGGTCCCAAATCTTGGCAGGGGAAACACTTCTGTGAGTTCACTTTCCTTCTTTAACTAGAGTTGGAGGCAAAGTCAGCACAAATCAGTAGGACTTAGGATGGGTACACAGGTTGCTAAGATAAAAATGTTACTCATCACAGAGTCTGGGTGTGATTTTGAACTACAAGGCTGTAAGAGGGGTCTCATGGTCAGCAGGTTGGAGGCAAAGATACAAGGAGAAAAATTGTTAAGGCTTGCTTTAGTTGGGCTGCTCCAATGATAAGAACCTCCATGCTGATGCTGTACTCTACACAGTCTCACACACACACACACACACACACACACACACACGCACACATGCGCACACACACCCCAGAACATGCACATATACACACTCTGCCCAAAGAAGGCCAACTGAAATGCTAAGGGTACAACTTCAACCATACTACCACTCTCACATCTAACATCAATTGTAAGTTCAAGGGGTTTCCCAAAACACTTCCATTTTAGTAATTTGTTAGGTCTCAGAACTCACAGAAAGGTGTTAGGTTTCTGATTACGTCTATTACAGAAAAAGATAGAGATTAACATCAGTCAAAAAAAAAGAGACACGTGGCAGAGCCTAAGGGGTTCTAAACACGAAATTTTATTATCCTCTCTCTGGTGGTCATAACACATTGCCCTCCTGATATTGACATAGAACAATGCACGTGGTATTGCCAACCAAGGAAGCACATCTGAGCTTCAGTGTTCAGGGTTTTTACTGGGGACATGAGTAAATAAGTATGATTGATTGATTGCCCGTATGGTCAGTTGATACCACGCTACCTGAAGCCCTCAACTCAAAATAACATGATTGATCAGCCTCCATCTAAACAAAGCATCCTCACTAAGTAGGGCAAGAAGCTGAGGGCGATGGCCAAACCACCCATAATGAAAAATCAACTTCTTTATTACGTACATGTATGCACACTCAAACACATGTTTTAGAAATTCATTATTTCATGGTACAAGAAAGAGTCTCCTCACCTTATTGGTTTACAGAAAACCATAATTATGCTTGTGGGTATCAAATTGCAACAGTCTAGCAATGGGGAGTTGAGTATCAATGGATTTATTTCCCATAATTTATGAAGAGAGATTGCCTTTGTTTCCATGATTGTTTAGGACTTATAAAGGATACCCATGAAATTGGTAAAATGATCAAGCTATCAAACACACCACTAATCCACAGACCCAAGCTGCCATGACAAGAATCAATGGAAAGGTACAGGACAGCATAAAAGACAATAGCTTCATAGAAGAACTGAAAGCAGGAAAGTCCAAGGAATGAGAAGGAAGAAAAAAATATAGGCCTCTAGATCTCTGTGTTCAGATAATGGCAGGCTACATTATTCTAGCAAACCCTCCTAATGAAAACAAGTAAAACATACTGGATAAAAATTTTCAAAGGAGTTTTCAAAACAATGGAAAGCTGACAATTTAGAAAGAATTTCCAGGTCAGGTCTGAAAGTAGAAAAGATTGCTAAGCATGGCAACTACTTTGGTCTGATGGAATTTTCTAATCTTAGTAAATCAGAATGGTTTTCAGTTTCTGAGGTGAGGTTAAGTGTGAAAACACAGAGTTGCACCAGGTGGGAAGGCTAATGCCACACCCAGAAGACTGAGCCCTCATGGTAATGCTGAGACTGGCCAGAAGCAAGCTAGTCATTAGGAAGTATTGAGTGACACCGTTGTTCAGTAAATGTCGAGTCTGGATTTTGGATTGAGTATCCCAGACTGGTAATATCCCAGAGCCTGGAAGCTCCACATTCAAATTCTTTTTGAATGGAGGTATCACTATTCCAAGCCTCCAATTATTATTATAAATGTTTTACATATAATCACAGAACATAATCAAACATGGAAAAAATGACAAAAAGAAGTTAATAGACAACAGAAATAAACTCAGAGGTCTCAGTTTATTAAAAGTGCCATACAGATTGTACAATAGCTATGTTCACTGTGCTTAAAACATACAGACAATCTTTAAACATCTTTAAGGTTTAGGAACCCATAAAAGTGAAATGACATAATTTGAAAGGAACCTCTGCAGGTTTGGGCTTTAATCCACTACCACCAAAACCAGGGGGTGAAGGAGTTTGCACATGAACAGAAGAAAGACCATGTGAGGACACAAGAAGGTGGCTATCTAAAATCCATAGAAAAAGGCCTCAGGAAAAGCCAAACCAGCTAACACCTTGATCTTGGATTCCCAGCTTCCAAGACTGTGAGAAAATATATTTCTCCTGTTTTAACAGTCTAGTCTGTATCATTTTGTTATGGCAGCCCCAGCAAACTAAGGCAGGTTAGGAACTGAGAACTTCTGTTTTAAATGAAATTTTTACAAGTAATCAAGTTTGAGACTCCTAACTCTAGAATATGCTCTGGC